ACCCAAATGATAGTTTGTTAAGAAATGGTATGGCAACATTTTGTGTATTTTTCAGAGTGTTATTAACCACCTTCTTACTATTGTATTGCAAAAATAAAAATGTTTATGGTACTGTGTTTTTCTTTTAGATGGAGGAGCTGAGAGCTCATGCAACAGACTGGACTCAGAACATCCAGAACATGTCCATGGACTTCCGTATTCCTGTGCCACTGGATCTCAACGACCCCTTTCAGCTCCAGCGGCGACGTAGACGGAAGCGTCACCGCCATCATCGCCACCCAAGTCTGAGCGCGGCGGGATTGGCTCATGGGATCTCCCTCGATGCCGATGTTGTCCGAGAGAATGGACACCTGATTCTCGGATGGCCTGCATGCAAGTACACCCCAGGGTCTGATATCAGGTCTGAAGCGCTGTCCCGATCCAGGTCGTGGTGTAGGTTAGATGGGGCGTATGAGGTGAGACCAGGATCGAGGCTGACGGTAGGACCAGCGTCAAGATCTGTCTCAAGGTTAGAGCTGAAACCACCATCAAGACCCGGGTCCAGAGCCATTTCCAGGTCCCCTTCAGAATCTGGAACAGGATCAGTCTCTGGATCCGAGACCCCGTCGGAATCCTGGTCTGAATATGAATATGATTCAAATTCCCCTAACTCAGAAGACCTGGAATCTGGAGCTGAAGGGACTCTCAGATCACTGGGAAGTCAGAAGGATGTTCCTGTCGTCGTGGTTGATAGCTGCAGTCCACCTCATCCCTCCCTTCTGGACTTCTTTGGCGAGAACCTGGCGTACATTGATGAGTCCTCAGACACTCTTAGTGATCGGATCAAACCGGCTGGACAGAACCGCCAACGCAAAGCCAAGAGGAGGAGCATGACGAGACAATATCCTATCGGACTGCAGAGGGAGATCAGTAGTGAACTACAACCTCCATCACACCCTCCAACACCTCCACCTCCAACCTGACAATTAAGCATTTGACCAAGGGCTGTTAGCTTTCAGCATCACAGTTTGAAGATGCCAAACATGACTGATGCAGACCATCACAAATATGCAAAAACAATTTATTGCCTCCCAGGCAAACATAAAGTGGCTTTGTTCAGAATAGCATACTACCATTTGTGCAGTATGTACTTGTGTCAAAAGTTTAGGATAAGACTTTTAAATATTTTTTTTTTTTAATGTCCAAGGCTGCATTTATTTGATCAAAAATACAGTAAAACAGTAATATTGTGAATTTTTTTTTTTTTACAATTCCAAATAACTGTTTTCTATTGTAATGTATTCGAAAATGTAATTTATTCCTGTGATGCAAAGCTGAATTTTCAGCATCATTACTCCAGTCTTCAGTGTCACGTGATCCCTCAGAAATCATTCTAATATGATGATTTGCAGCTCAAGAAACAGTTACTATTATTAATTTTAAAAACAGTTGTACTGCTTGTGGAAACAGTGATACATTTTTTTTCTTTTTTCAAAGTAACAGCATTTATTTGAAATAGAAATGTTTGGAACATTATTCTGTAAATGCTGTCACTTTAAATCAATTTAAATCAATTGAATGCATCTTTGCTGAATAAAAATATGAATTTCTTCTAAAAAAAATTTTACTGACCCCAAACTTTTAAACAGTAGTGTATACTGTGCATAAGGTCTAATGCCCAGAAGGCCTACAACATTTGCTGAAATGTGCAATATACAATAGAGCACACTGTAGTGCTGCAGCCTACCCCACAATGCAATTTGCTTACATTTTCCAATTTGAGGACATTTCAGCATTGTGATTATTCAGCAAATCAGATGTTTGTTTTAATGTTTCATTTGTCACTGCCACCATATATTTGTCATATTTTAGTCATAATATTTAATATTATGAATTCACTGTAAATTGTATGATGTCAGTGTAATAGGGTAGTGTTTTGAATTGTAACCACAAAAAAGTAAATGGTAAATGCTGTTATGTTTTAGGAGTGATATTTTATTTGTAGTGTCTTGAATTGCTTAATATTCCCCTAGTAGTTTTTTAGTATTATAGTTATATGATTTAGTTATACAAAAAATACAGTTTATATTTTGCATGATATACTTTGAGGAAATAGGAGACAATTTGTTGTAAGATGCACATTATTTATTGAAATGTCATTTTATTTGTGTGCCAAATTGGTTATAATTGTGAAAACAATGTTTTGGTTGTTGATTGATGTTTCATTTGTTTTTGTTTTTTGTACATCACAGCTGATTTCAGACAAAGGAGATCTAAAATACCTATAGAAAATGGCAATCTTATTATTATTACATGTCTACTTTGGAACTTCCATCCATGGAAATATTTTTTTGGTTGGATGATGTAGTTTCAGAATCTTCCAGTAGGAGCTAACCCGCTCCATATCAAGGTTCCACTGGTTAACACGAACCCATTTGTAAGCGCCCTCTTGTGGTGATCTGAACTGGGCAAATCTCGAAGTTTTCTCAAGTTGTATTCCATTATTAAAAAAAAAAAAAATCAGTCGGATGTTTGTACAACTGTTATATTTGCCCTGCAGCTTGTGGCTTACACACACACACACACACACACAGACCTCTTCTTTGAACACACAGCTCACTTTCCAGAGCGGACATCTATACATCTACCCAAACACATTTTACAGCATGTACACAAACAGAATGTTTAAAAAGAAGCAATTTCGATGGTGAATTTGCACAGCAGGAGCTAGATGAGCATTTAAATGCCCTTGGTGTGGGAAGATGAGGCGAATGAGAGAAGAAGCGAGTATGTCCCAGCCTGAGACAGATTCAGGAATGGCTTTTGTAAGGCTCTGGCTGTGGGGATAAATGCCGGTTGCAGAGTGAAGGGGGTATTTAGAGGGAAGAGGACAAACACATGGTGGTGGTTTACAGAGGAGCTTTTCCGCAGGGCTTCCAAAGCACCCTTAAATTCTACCTCTGCACTTCAGCCCCACCTAACACAAGTTCTACACCCAGAACACTGAAGTCTCGAACCGGAAGCTGTTCTTCGTAACCTGTGCGTGACTGTAATCGATTTCTGAGTGGAAATGCTTCAGAAGTGGCCGGTGACACACCTGGACTTGGATGTTTTTGTCTTGGAAAACATGACAAGCAGTTTAGTGTTAAAGAAAAAAATGTTCAACTATGTAATTATGTTTAAAAAACGTTTATGAATAAAAGCTGTGTTCCATAATCTTGTACAGAGTAAGGTAATCATGGAATGAATGAATCGCAGGTTTAGGAACTTCAGTGAAACCTGTCAAAACTCCCAAAGAGTTCAAACCAGGGTGGAAAATGTATTTGATTTTGAATAACAAACATCAATATCCGTTTAAAGAGATATACACAGCAGAACTGAATGCTGACAGTTCACTCCAGGCAGTAAAAGCCATCTATCAAGCCAGAATCAGAAACACAAATCATTTAATCTGCATAGATGAATATGGCATATTTCCTCAAAGCATGGTACCATCAAACAACATATAACCACTGTAGCAGGGGTTCTCAACACTTGCACCTGAGGTTCACTTTCCTGCAGAGTTTCGCTCCAACCCTAATCAAACACACCTGAACAAGCTTTGATGAAGGTTGGAGCGAAACTCTGCAGGAAAGTGGACCTTGTTAAGCAAAGGTACAATATTAAGTTCAGATTATCTCGTAGACATAACTGTCCAGAAAAGTCTTCTAGTACATTTACTCTATAATTTCCACCTATTACAGTGCAACTCTAACTAATAACAGCTGTTGCTTTTAGCACTGTTGAACCAGATACTGTTCAGATATTTTGGCAGAGAAAATTCTCAGTAACTGCATAATTGCGTTCTCAAATATCTTTTTTGTCTTGGGAGTGGATGATGTAGAAACAGGATGCAAGACATATTCAAGTAACCCCCACACATCCAACACTTCACATCTCATCAGCTTCACTGCATGAACATAACATCAGGTCATATATTCCATGGCTGTTTTTCTGATTTGTTCATTTCCATTTGTGTGGTTGGAGATTTTGCATTCTGAATTGAAAGAATACAAAAACCTTGGCAATGAGGTGGAGTGCTGGTTTATATCTAGAAGAACATTAGAATGATTTGCTTTACTGTTTTTGACACCGCAAAAGGGGAAATTAAAGTTTATGCTTTTAAACAGCAAGTGAGACCACAAAATGTGTACTTCTGAAGAGTCAATATCACTGTTGTTGATTAGCAAAAAAGCACATTTATATAGGACAGAGGCTAGAAAAGTCAAAACAAATGAAATTTCCACCATCAACAGTAATGAGTCAAAAAATACAGTAATAAGTCACTTAATTGGTGTTTCCATGCTACGGTTTACATTTAAAAACCTGATTCACTTTTGGCCGGAGTGCTCATCCACAGATTAGCTTCTGGGCATTATGGGTCGAAAATTTCAATAACACCAACCTCTGTTTATGTCGTGAGATGTCAGGAACCCAATAATCTTACAAAATACACCCTAAATGACAATGCTTTAATTCAAATCAGTTATAGCTTTTTCTAAATGCTTTCTCTGTTCTTCTCATTCTAGTTTTTTCTCATTGGCCAATATAGTAATCTTTGTCACATTCCACAAACACACGGTTCTATAACATTTCTCAAAGCATGAGATGGTGAAAACTACAGTATATGTTTGATAAACTAGTATATAACATAAAATTAACCTAGCATAAGTTTGCAATAGGTTGGCATCCTGAGGTCACAATAAAATAAAACAAACCTAAAGAGTTTCAGGTTCTATATTGTGGCATATCTATAGCTTTACATTAGCTTTACATATCATGTAGGTGTGAAGCAACATTCACCGTCTCCTCTAGACTCTATAAATATATAAACTATGAATAAGTGCTTTTTCTATTCATGTATGCATTCAGAAGCCATATTGTAACTGCTGAAGTGGATGTTTATTAAAGGGTTAGTTTACCCAAAAATGAAAATTAGCTCATAAATTACTCACCCTCAAGTCATCCTAGGTGTATATGACTTTCTTCTTTCAGACGAATCCAGTCGGAGTTATATTTAAAATTGTCTTTGATCTTTCAAGCTCTATCGTTGTACTCAGCGGGTGTTGCATTCCTTCGGTTCAAATGACGTGAAATAAAAAGCACCCTTCTTTACAAATCCTCGTTTTGTACTTCTAATTAGTGACCGTTGTTTTGTTTCGATCTCTCTGCTGCATTTCCGCGTGCGTCCCTTCTGAGCGGCGCATGCGCAAACAAACATGTTTTTTTTGTTTCAGCTAGTTGCCAAAGCAACATTTTTAAATTTTAATTTATTTTAACTTGATGTACTAAAACTGAAATTAAAATGAATAAAATCTATACAGAGATACTCTATAAAATACAACTACTAAAAAAACTAAATAGCTTTAGCTTAAAATGAAAAGGAAAATATAAAAATAAAAACTGATTTAAAACATTAATAAAAAACATTACCCATGTAAAAAAGAAATACACTGAAGTTGAACTAATATTATTGTACAACTTGTATAAGTTGCACTTATTATATTTTAATTCTACTATACTAAGTGCATATTAAGTGTGTTATTTTGGAGCAACTTTAAGTACTGAATGTTAAGTGTTCTTTCAGATATACTTAAGATAATTGTAATACATTTTAATATATTTAGTTGTTAAAATGCATTACAATGCAATTTATTTGCACCAAATAAATAAATAATTGAATGAATAATGCACAGAAGTGCATAAAGTGAATTTTTACTAACCCAAGTTAAGCCTGCAAATGTCTGAACCAAACAAAGAAACAGAAAATTTGAAATGTAACTATCTTAAGTGGAGGGTCACTTTTCTTTGAGTACAACTTGTTGCATTTTCTGCATTTGAGGGTTTGCAATTCAGACACCGTGGTATTTCATCACAGGGTCTGTGAAAGGACATATAACTCCGACTGGATTCGTCTGAAAGAAGAAAGTCATATACACCTAGGATGCATCGGGGATGAGTGAAACGCAGCCTAATTTTCATTTTTCACTGAACTAACCCTTTAAGGTCTGTTGTACGAGTACTCACACTCTGCTATGGCCAAGAATCTTCCTGTTTATAGCCATGAGCTGCCAGAATATCTGTCTGTCTCTCCATCCAGACTCTGCTTCAGACAAAGACAAACAAAGACTCAATCAGTAATGCCAAAGAGATCATTTGAAAAATTATTATTAGCGATTAGAGTTTATAAATATTTATTACCTTTTCAAAATCTGTGACTGTCCCGGATTCTGGAAGAAGATAAATGGTCATGGTGCCCCATAAAAGTCTAGAGTTTAGAACATCACATCTAGGATCCTGGCTTCCTTTTGTGCTGAAGTTTGCATATTTATAAAGCAATTTTCAGTATATCTGTCTAATCAGATCAGAGTTTCATGCAGGTTATTATAGTTACCCAAAAAACTAAAACCAATAAAAAAAAGAAAGTTACTAATATATATAAAATCTATACAGAGATACTCTATAAAATACAACTACTAAAAAAACTAAATAGCTTTAGCTTAAAATGAAAAGGAAAATATAAAAATAAAAACTGATTTAAAACATTAATAAAAAACATTACCCAGGTAAAAAAGAAATACACTGAAGTTGAACTAATATTATTGTACAACTTGTATAAGTTGCACTTATTATATTTTAATTCTACTATACTAAGTGCATATTAAGTGTGTTATTTTGGAGCAACTTTAAGTACTGAATGTTAAGTGTTCTTTCAGATATACTTAAGATAATTGTAATACATTTTAATATATTTAGTTGTTAAAATGCATTACAATGCAATTTATTTGCACCAAATAAATAAATAATTGAATGAATAATGCACAGAAGTGCATAAAGTGAATTTTTACTAACCCAAGTTAAGCCTGCAAATGTCTGAACCAAACAAAGAAACAGAAAATTTGAAATGTAACTATCTTAAGTGGAGGGTCACTTTTCTTTGAGTACAACTTGTTGCATTTTCTGCATTTGAGGGTTTGCAATTCAGACACCGTGGTATTTCATCACAGGGTCTGTGAAAGGACAAATAATTAATCAGTGGTTTTGAGTGGTGTTTTTGAATATCATATGTATTCTAATTTGCATACATATGCATTAGAATTTATCTGACTGTTCTCAGTTTATTTACATTTTAAAGCTTTGACTATATCCTCATCAAGCTTGACATGAGCGTCCATTTTTATCCTCTTGTCTGTCGTCACAATACAGCACTCTGTGTTACACTGAACACAAGGTTAGAAGAGGCCAAACAACACCACAGAGTTCAATCCCAAAGTCACTGATATTGTTATTCAAAGCAATAAAGCAACCTATGTGTATTACAGGCTACATTATTTTAACCTATTTCCCATTAATCTGTCTATGGCTCTATGGTATCCTTCACCTCTGTTGCAGATATTTAAGGAAACGAGGTCATACAAAATGGCATGTGCCATGTAGCAGGACAACTAGGCCAAGGTCCTGCAGCTTTCCCCAAAAACAAAAACAATTCAAAAGAAAACAGATATTTCCATGAATGACTCAAAGGAAGTACAGAAATTAACCACCTGGAATGGACACTTTGCTAATATTTTCTTTCAAGACAACACAGCGGCTGATGCAATCACCCTCCATTAGGTCCGATTTAAAAATCTCTGCAACAGAGGTGCTGAATCCAAAGTTAGCATCACACTCAAGAGCCCCAATAGACACTTTATTAAAAAATATGTCAGCCAGAATGAAACCTTTGAGATTCATTGATATGAGATTAAAATACACTACTCGGTCCGTGTACTTTTGCGTCCATTCATTTTTCATTTTTTAACCTAGAAATGATATGGAAAATGTGATTTCTTCTTTTATGGTTCTAACACTTATTAATAGAATAATCAGACAAAAACTAATTTGTAAGTATTCTTTTGTAAGTACAAACATTGAAACAACATTGATTTTAGGCTTATTACTAAGGCATAGTTGACAAAATTATATTTCTAATACATTATAAGTTGATACAATGTAAGAATACACTTGCATATTTTATAGCTGTAATGTACAATGTGTGAGTGAATTAATATACTTTACTGTTAAATACTGTTCTTTTTTTAAAGATATCTTTGAAAAGCAGACTGAAGCACATCAGTTCATTACATAAATATTAAAAATATATTGTAGTAGGTCTAAATATGGTAATAAATAAGATACATATACTTTAAACCCACTAAAAGCTGAATCATTTTATTATGTTCTTACAGAAAGTAAACATAAAATATAACAGTAAAATAAGTATGTTTTCTGTAAAAACACTAAAATGTCACACAAAGTATGCTTGTGTTTTAGCATATTTCTTAAAAGCTTAACTAAGCATATATTTATAACCAAAGTACTCCTAGTATACTTTTAAAAATATATATTGCAATGCATGTACAATTGTACTATAAATATACTACCTGAATTTCAAGCACATTTTTAATACATTTAAGAGTAATTCTTTTTCACCTGGTTATCAGTGACACACACAAAAAAACTGCTCAGTTGGTGAGACGGTCATATTGGTTTTGGACAATATTCAATTAAATATTTATGATTCTGAGCACATTCAACCTAAGAAAGGATTCAACCAATGGCTGATAACTGAGATCACAGTCTGCTGTGTCTAGACTCCAGTGCAACTCTCACAACACTTGTGCACATTCACACCCCATCAAAACCATGTGTCCCGAAGCTGCTCTCACTCTTCCCAAACCACACGGCCCTCAGACGGCTGATCGTCCTCTTTCCTGCCCCAAGGTTTCGTATTTGCACTTTTGCAGAGGACGCTGAGTCAACGTTGCGTAAGCGACAATAAGTACTTTTGTCGATTCATTTTAAGGACTGTTATGTAACAATAAGCTCTCCCTCTCTCCCTTTGCATCCCCCATTTCCTATCAAGTTATAAAAGTTGTTTTCACCGAGCGAGAGACAGAGGAATTTGCTTATTTTAACTCTGGCAACCAAACACAGAAACCCTGTCATTCCCTACAGATCATTCTCACCGGCCACAGATAAACATTTAAGCAGTGCTTTTCACTCAAAAACAAACTTTTAACGCCATGCCAGCAGCTATAGGTTTTTAAAGGACATGTCGAAGCTTCATAGGAGGAATGAAAACAAACAGGCGATATGTAGGCCAAGTCAACATTCTTTCTGACTTCCCACACATCAGACAAAATTATATCGCTCAGCATTATAGGGTGTGGATGGCATTGCCAGATTATACAAATCAAAGACATCACATGGTGCGTTTGAAACGCGTCCTACAGGCGATTTCGACTCAGTGTGTCGGCCCGCTTTTCGCCCACTGTTCTTTCTGCCATGTCACCACAAACCCTGAACCCCAAGCGTTTAAATTTGGTGTTCCATGAGTGGTCGGTGTCTGGAAATTGTTCACATCCTGTTTACGTCGGAGATTTTCTAACCTCGAACCGCATCTGGCTGGTGAGTCCACTAGTCAAATCTGCATTTTCAGCGAGTGCAGACCACACAGTTATCGTTTGAAGAATAAAAGGAAACCTTGAGAGTAGGCCACTCGCTGGGCTGTATAATGAATAAATATAAGACACAGCCAATAATCTACTTCGAGAAACTTCTAGAAATGTGATAAAAATAAAAAAAAAGGCCACAAAATATTATTATATAATCAAAATGTATTGCATTTAGCAAATAAACACATATAAACATCACCAAAAACTATTTACATTTGCAAAAATATAAACTGATCTACAGTAAACTTCGTACAAAATCTAAAAAGGATGCACTGCTGGTGTGTATTTTGTGTGTCACTGTTGCGATACTGAAAATGCAAAAAAAGCTTATTTATTAGACTATTACCAATAGGAGACGGTTCTCGCTCCTGTATTGAAGATGCTTGATGTATGATTATACGCTATTTCTCATCCCACAAGTTTGTAGGTATAGTTCACCCAAAAATAAAATTTCATTCCTTTCTTCTGTAGACAATAAAAGAAGATATTTTGAAAAATGTCTCAGTGTCACATTGGAAGTCAATGGGGTCCAAATGTTTGGTTCGCAACATTCTTCAGAACATTTTCTTTGATGTTTGCCAGAAGAAAGAAATGCATACAGATTTGGAATGACATGAGGGTGAGTAAATGATGACATTTTTCATTTTTGGGAGGAGTATCCCTTTAAGATGCCTTTCATTGAGATGTTAGTTTGCTCTCCTCTAATGCACCTGTGCCCTGTCCTCCGTCTGAGATCTTTATGTCTTCCCTCTCCACTGCTTCAACGGCACTTGCAGGACCGGACCACCATGTTGGAGAGCTGTTCCACACGGGGGGTTCGGCCTAGGAAATAAACGATGGTGAGGGGCTCCAGGTCCTGAGGAACACAACACGGAGATGCTGATGCCTCTGGATTCATTTTATTATACAGCGGGAGAATCTAAAAGGAAGACAGACAGAGAAACACTGTAAGCAGACATTTAAATGCAACATTTTAGAGCGAACTCTGTCCAACACTGCACAAGTTTGATTAGAAAATGTAGTTTTGCTATATTTCTCAAATTATACACGTATCAGCTATAATGCACTTCTCAAAATGACTAAAGCATTCAAGTGTCAAAAGTTTCTGTTTTAATGACAAGAGGAGTATTCAAAATGCATAATTTAACATACAATCTGCAAAAGAGTGAAAAAAGGGGATTTAGGATTAGTCAAAAAATGATGTTTTTAGAATCAATAATAAATCATACATGTGAAAATGGGCTGAGAATTGAACAAATATTTGTTTAGAGGAAGAAAGGAATCATGTCTTTGTTGCAGTTTGTTGACAGCAAAAATGCTACAAAATGCATATCAGATTTTGTGAGAAAGTGTGATGTGTTAGAGCAAAACAGATACTACTTTTGTAATCAGCAGCCCAAAATTAGTAAGAAACAAGCACTGGATTTCATGCAGCAAATATGATGCAGGGTGGTGTGATCTTTGAGCTGATAGTCCTGATCCTTTAACATCCAACCCTTAACTGTCCACTCTTTTCTGTGAAACATGCTCAGCCTGATCAATATTTACCATGTTGTAGTGGTTGTCTGCACTCCAGAGGTAAGGACAGTTCCCCGCACAGAAATTTGCTTTGTACCCTTTTGGTTCGTGGATCCACTTCCAGTTCAAGTCCCGACGAAAATCAATGTACAGAGACCTCAGACAGCAGCCCTGATCAGTCCTAGAGGAGGGAAAATGATTTGTTGCAATGCATCATGCTGTGTTAAAAGAGAAGTTTACCTAAAATGAGTTTTAAAATGATTTATTTAAACATTATCTGCTCACACTCATTCCAAACATATGACTTGTCTGACTTACTTTCTTCTACGTAACACAGTTTGAATTATATTCTAGTTGTTCTTCTCCATGCAGTTACAATGAATGGGGAAAGAAAAAGCACCATAAATATATTATAAAAGTAGACAATAACTTTTGCATATTCCAAGTCTTCCGAAGTCAGATGCTTTATAAGAGCAACAGACTGCAATTTAATATATATATTTTTAAGTATAACTATATAGTTTTTCATTTAATTTCCAGTTATTTCCGATTGCAGTGCTTCCACTTGAACTAAACAAAACTAATCGAAATACATTAAAGTTTTGAATCTAATATTTATATTTTATTTTATTTCAGTTTTATTTCAATTAACAATTAGTTTTAGTTAGCAATAACAACTCTGGGCAGGATATTCTTACAAAATAATAATAAATAATTCACCCTTTGTGTTCCACTGAAGAAATCATGTCAGTTTGGAACAACACTGTACATTTTGTGAGTAAATGAATACTTTTTGGGTGGACTAACCCTTAAATAACTGTTGTCCGGTTTTGACTCCAGCAACAAATTCTGATTTGGCGTAAATGTGACCCTAATGACCATTTCTATGTTGCTTAGCACAGAGGAAGCACTCCACATAACAAATACACATTAAAAGAGCATTTACTTCCAGGACAGACAAGACGTGACACTCCCTGGGCGAGTCGCAGCATGTGTTCTGTGGGTGTGTGATGCAATACAATTTAGACCTCTATTTTACATGCACACACATTAGGATCAATCTCATTCAGCTCTGAGTGCCTCGTTATTGGTTCTTTATTGGTTTCTCATGCAATGCTTTTGTTTTCTTGCATTAACTGGGGACTTCTGAGCTTCTAGCCAAAGGTTTGATATATGACAGACACTATCGGAAGAGAACAAAACTTGAACTGACTTGAGCTGAATAATGACACTTATAGCTGAGAATTGAGCTTGTTTCATAATTGATGAACTTTACACAGTTATTGAACTGAACTGAACCAACACTGAACTGGCTTGAGCGAATAATGACACTATTGTCTTTTTAGAGCTGCTTTACAGCAGAATTTGGATTTGTCCCATGTTTGATGAACTTTGCATCATTGATTAGGTTATTTTCCTGCTTATTACTGTGATGCTGCTTTGAAACAATCTGTATTGTATAAAGTGCTATATAAATAAAGGTGACTTGACAAAATACTGCAAGCGTAATACTGAAATCCTTCAAAGCCATTTATACTGGCTTTTTGCATCTGTTTTTATACTAGCATTCATTTTGAGTCTCCGCTTAGCTTTTCTAACGCATGTTGCCATGGATCATACAGTTAAGCAATCATTACACAAAAATATCTGATTTTCAGTAAAAAAAAAAAAAATCAAGCATTCCAGAGAAAGCAATAATAAATAATATTTTCAAACACACACACACACACACACATTCCAGCACTCTTTCTCTCTGTACCGTGAGCATATGGATGTGACTGCTGCTGATCTCTTCTTGCGGTTTTTCTTGGTGGGACTCTCCAGACGGTCGGTGGGCAGCAGGGTTAGTATCAAATGGGGAGTTTTTGTGCTGAATTCAATCTGTCCTTTAGTCATGCCTGGTCTTCTGTTCTGCTTTATAAGATCATCATCAATGCCTGGGAAGGAATCAATCAAAAATATCAATAACAACAAATGATTCAATGCATTTCCTATGACACTGAAGTTGGCCAAAATGTCACTGTTTTCAAAGAATTGAAGTCAACTCTATGTTTGTAGAGTTCAGTGTTGCACTTTTCTTCTAAAGTTTGAAAGTTTCTTTAAGAAATATTTTGCTTGAAAATGTGCTTGTGCTGTCTTTAAAATAAATACAACATTGTTTGATATTTTATTATTTAATGCAATGGTATTCATACTTTTAAAAGTGTAACTTAAGCATCTAAATACTTTTGGGGGGTTCACGGTACAAGTAAAATAATCAAACTTTTATTGTAGCATTGTGTAACTCGAAATAAAAGACAAATAAGTCAAATAAAAATGTATGGTACTATGGAATAACATACGGTAAATTTTAATGAGCAAATATAAAGAAAACCAAAGGCTATAAAGACCCAACTCAGTCAAGTTGTCAGAATACTTAATTATAACCAGTTATAATTAATCACAAATATTTTCACTTTCAGCTAATTTGCTACAAATGAATAAAAAAAGGAGTCCAGTATTGATACAAATCTTGTAATTCTGACTTTTTCCTTGAAATCAGGAGTACTTTTCTCAGAGTTTATATTGAGAGTTTATACCTCGCAATTCTGAGAAGAAAATCATAAGGGTGAGATTAAAAAGTCACACTTTCTTGTTTTTTTATTATTCAGTGGCAGAAATGGGCTTCCATAGCGCACTTACAGCTCTGGAAAAAATGAAGAGACCACTTGAAAACTCTCAGTTTCTCTGGATTTATGATTTTTTGTTGCATGTTGTATTTTTAGTTGCATCCTACTACTTGTTTCACTTCTGTTTCATATATATATATATATATATATATATAGTATTTATAGAGTTTTAGCTTTTAGTTTTAATTACTTTTTCTTATTTGTAAGTCGCTTTGGATAAAAGCGTCTGCTAAATGACTAAAAGTAAAAGTAAGTAAAAGTATGTTGTGTGTGCATTTTATATATATATATTTTAAATTATGTCATTATTATTATTATTTGTATGTATATATATATATATTTTTTTTTTACTATTCTCTGACATGTTAGGATGCTTAGCTGTTGTTTGAGTTGAATGTTTGTAGCCACTCTCAATTGTTAACCAGCAATGATTGTAAGTAGTACAAATTGTTTCTGTACACAGTGGATTTGGACACTGAGGAAGGCTGTTAATAGTCTAAACGCATTTGCTAACATCATTTTTAACGATTTAGCCTAAAAGGTTTTTAATTTTCTACCACTTGATTGCCTTCCTTGTTTTTCATAAAAATTTAGACTGATGAGAAAATGACCTGCAAATCTGGCTTCCAACTCTTCACTCTTGTTAGGGACAATATTGTTTGTGGAAGGGACGAATGTACAGCAGGGACAGTGAACGCTGATCTTGAGCCCGAGATTTCTCTCTAAAAGAGAAAAAGATGATTTTTCTTAGAGAAGGAAATACTTCTCATTTTACTTGCTCTTCTGCTTCATTGAGCAGTAAATATATGTTCAAACCTCCGGATGAACTCACTGACCTCTGAAGGCCATCCACTCCTTCACAGTCTCCGTGACGTCGACAGAAAGCCACGCCCCCTTGGCTTGAGGCTCAACTGTTCTGGAGTCGATGTACCTCTGAGACGGTGCTGTCACGTCGTCAGATTTGAGAATCTGTGGGTGTGAAGGGAAAAACCACAAGCTTATTTACCCATTCATTCATCTGCTGGTCTATTTCTTGCACTATACACCATGAAAAAATATGTGAGGAATCAAACCCTTTCAGCTGCTGTCACTCGCTGCTCATCTTTGGAACGACCCAAGCCTTTTGTCTGGAAAAACCACATGCGATTCTCTCACCTGGTATATTTCCACACGCTGCTCTGTGGTGCGTGCCTGTGGGTTTGGCGCTCTGAAGATGCGAAATTCTGCTTTGACCAAAGTACTGGAATTTCTCTCCACGTTGGTGACGTCGAAGCCCACTATCCTGAAGTATGGGCTCTGAGGAACTGGGTTGATTGAGTCTGTGAAACAAAGGCAGGATTCACTTTGGTCTTATTTACACTTTGTGGTCTGTGCGTGGTTTTCAGAGGGTCAACCTCAAGGAAATAAAACTTGCCTTGGTGCCAAAGCAGCAGATGTAATGACTAACCCCTTTCAGCTTCTCAGAGGCCTCACTGAACTCAAGCTGCCTTATTATTAGCAACAAAATTGTATATTATAGGTACACTATATATAGTAGCTGTTAGATCAAATATATGCCTCAGTGATATGCTCAACACTGTACCTTTATTGTGAATATACATATAAACTGTAAGGGAATGTTTCAAAAGCTTGTCCTGGTCATATTTCACCCAAAATCAAAAGAAAACTAATAATTATTTCGCATGAAGCAGCCTATCATTTTATTTTATTATTATAATTTTTTTTTAGGGTAACAACAACTGATTTGTATTGTGACACTATTAAAATGAAAATTAAGCACATTTGACCTGCTACTGACAATGTACTTTTTTTTGCCATTATTTTCAATAGATTTTTAATTCAGCAATATGTAATTTGTGCAGATTAGAAAAATTGCATTACAGTTGTTTTTTTTGCAATAAATTGCAATACATTTTTTTTTACCATAACACAAAGCAATAAATACCAGAGACAGACCAGTAATCTGTTTAACATTTTATACTGATATTCATACTTTATAACTTACACTTTTCTTTTCCAGGGCACATATTTCTCTAAAGAAAAGCATAAGAAAGGTTATCCAAAAGAAAAATAACTAAATGTATTAAAAACAAAGATGAAAATAAGTTTGACATTTAGATTGCAAAACAATGGCATTGGACAAATAATTACTCATACATTATGTTTTATTGTGGCAAGTTTTATTGTGATCTAATGATCATTTTATTATTATTGTGTTAAAAAGCTAAATAAAAACAGAAAACATCGCATAGCCTAACGTTTATCGGGCATAAAAATAATATGCATCATATCGGTCATAAAAAGGCAATACTGGTCTAATAAATACTACTATAATTAGAATTTAATAATACAATATGCAATACGAATCATGTTGTTATTGTGTTAAAAAGCAGAAATAAACTGAAAATATTGCATATCGGTTATCGGGCATAAAAACAATGTGCACGCTCCTTCAGCAGCTCCTTCGTGCTGTTGTAAAGTAACATCACCCCCACCGGTACCGACTCTGATGGCGGGCTGGCTTCGGGAACCGGAGGACTCCGGATGCGCAGCTTGCTCAAAATCTGTCCGCGCACCGCCTCAATCCTTTTAGATTTGTGGTCGGCCAAGTTGTAGGACTGGCACGTGGAGAATCCCTCCGCAGACACGGACAGTTTGAGAACGAGCAAAGTTAGATTGATGAACCACATATTTGATTGACAGATGAGAGGGTCGGAAGGAAGCGCTCCGCTATAACGCCCGGTCCGCTGGATGTCCTCGGGGAGCACGCACTGAGCGCGTCTCTTGCAATGGGACAAACCCAAAGTGCGTAGGCTGCGCTGGTCGCGCTCAGTGTTCACCAGGTGAATGAGCCGCTCTGCTGTCAGATACGAGCTTTTACCCCTCATACACTGCCTTACATGTCATTTATGTACTCTTGTAGTCTATTAGAAGACTGCTGAGCTTAATGTGGGAATTCCACGCTAACTTAAAGGAGATCAGTTTTTTTCCTAAAGGTAATTTTCGAGGTGCAAACGTTTAAGGTACTGCTTATGTAAGTTAACGTATTTTGGCATACCTAACAGTTAGCAAAACGAGAACGGTCTTAAATACTTAAAAAAAACATTCAAAAGTGTTTTTTGTAATCTATTTATAAAATAAATATACAATAAAGTGAGAAACAAGTACCCTACTTACTTTTATGTTTTGTCGCTAAACCAAAGCAGAAATCGATCGCGCAGCACGCCGTTGCTATAGTAACCTCCTTAGGCTAAGACCTGTTTTTATACAGTCTATGGCTACGACGTTATAGCTAGGCGTCGGGATCACTAAAATGATTTTAAAGGCTTTTTGGAAACTTATGTTGAACTTAAACAATTCAGTATAATTAGCCTACTTTCTAAGACCCTAACCGTTTGTTTGGAACATGTCATTTATGTACTCTTGTAGTCTATTAGAAGACTGCTGAGCTTAATGTGGGAATTCCACGCTAACTTAAAGGAGATCAGTTTTTTTCCTAAAGGTAATTTTCGAGGTGCAAACGTTTAAGGTACTGCTTATGTAAGTTAACGTATTTTGGCATACCTAACAGTTGGCAAAACGAGAACGGTCTTAAATACTTTAAAAAAAAAATTCAAAAGTGTTTTTTGTAATCTATTTATAAAATAAATATACAATAAAGTGAGAAACAAGTAGCCTACTTACTTTTATGTTTTGTCGCTAAACCAAAGCAGAAATCGATCGCGCAGCACGCCGTTGCTATAGTAACCTCCTTAGGCTAAGACCTGTTTTTATACAGTCTATGGCTACGACGTTATAGCTAGGCGTCGGGATCACTAAAATGATTTTAAAGGCTTTTTGGAAACTTATGTTGAACTTAAACAATTCAGTATAATTAGCCTACTTTCTAAGACCCTAACCGTTTGTTTGGACTTTTTTATGGTTCAAACCCTTCCAAAAGCCCTCGGTAATTCACACCCTGCCTGAGCTACTTCAGGTAAAACAAATGTTAAATATTGGCCAGATTTCTGTGCATGTTGTGATGACAAACAAAATACAAGCGTGCATTATTACAAACCATATGGAATCTATAAGCAGAGCCTTTCCATCATGCTTCCCGGAATTTTGAGTATTTACCGGTAAGGTAATAAACGGAACAGTTCCTCATGCTCGTCTAGTATCCAGTGATTCAGAGAGAAACTCCAAGTGCTGCTTTGAATTCTTGTGGTTTGTCTTGGAGCTTTACTGAGGACCGCTAGAACTTTCTTTTAAAGTGACTCTCCAGCTCCTTTCCCATGATAGCTATAAGATATCAGGTCAGATTTTATTCTCTTTTCTTACAGCCTCAAGTCAAGAAGCAGACCTGCCATCCAAATGTTCAATCAAGCCCTTGAAGTTGCTTTAGGAAAATCAAATTATCCCATGACAAAGACTGACTGTCTCCAGCAGCATAAAGTTGAACTGGATTTAATATAAACAAAATGAAAAAATGCTAGTCTAGGCTTGGCCTACCAGAATAGATCTTTTGCGAAGAGTAATCCATTTAAACGGAGAGAGGGGAAAAACTAGACCATCAAGAAAAACGTCAGACGTCAAAGAAAGTCTTTGAAGGTGTGAACTTAACTACTCTGCTATAATTAAAAAAAACTCTTAGGCTTTCAGAGCTATCAAAAACATCTCTTCAACAAAAGCCCCTAACGTTTTTGGAAGGAAGAAAAAAACATACAGCAGCTGTGTGTGGGAGAGAGGGAGGGAGGGAGAGAGAGAGAGAGAGAGAAGCACAGAAAACTACAAGGGTGAATTACTAGGATGTCTGGAATGATAAAAAAGGACAGATCTTTTGGAATTTAGTTTTAAACATGTCAAGTCCTTAAATATAATAAACATTGATTTAATGATTCAATTCAACTGGGTTAAACATTGAGTGAAAAGTTTGAACATATTGCACAACTTCATCATTTTTCAAATTTATCATCAATTTAATATTTTCATACATTTTTTGAGTCATGAATTATTAGAAGTTTAGGGTTGCTCCATTTAACCTGAGGGAAAAAAAGCCATATACTTCAAAGCATGTTGCTTATGCCAAACTGACTTTGATTTGGTTGGCAAATGTTAACCTTACTGTTTGTTGTGAAAGAAATAATGATAAAATATTATTCCAAACTATTATTATTAAAATATTTTTTTCAAAAATTTAAGTCAACATTTTAAGTTTTTTTACTATCTCCAGACATTTACACAACCTAGTCACCACAAAAAATAAATAAATAAATAACTGATTCAGAAATTTAAAACATGTTCATGTGATATTTTTCCTTATTTATATGAATTACATTTTAATGCATTTTGAATAACTTCATAGATCTGTATAGAAGCTTTGTTAAGCATTATATAATAAGTTTGGTAGTGTTATCATAAAAAGTCACCAAAACAAAGTTGCAGAAGTCTATTTAGCAGTTTTCCTGTGACATGTTATGTAAGTATTTCTCACAGACTTTTCCAGACAGCACCATGACACTTTTTTGGAATCTTTCCTTGGCAACCGTGTTTCCAAGCAGCAGCCTGATACTTAACACAAATCTTTACAAACAGTCAAATATCCACCACAGCAGGCTGAAGTTACTGACTGACTGCTTCTTAATTTGTTTACCTTGGAAATAAGACAATGTGATTTTCTAATCCAATATTTCCCTCATGCATTTAACAGACCCACTGGACACATTTAAAATAGATTTACTGGATATTAATTTCACCTTCCATTTTGTTTCCTGGAGAGAAATGATAGCTATCCAAGGCCTCAATCTAGGTTTTCCCATCCATTCATTGTAGGTACACCCTTCCTTACGTTACTTCCACTCCCTATCTTTCTTCTCGTTGTTAATTACAGTTCACCATCTACATGATCGTTAATCTTTCAAAAACAGCTTTATAGCTGCTCTCTCCACCTCTCCATTATGACATTATTATAGTTTGGCCAAGAGGGCTAAAACTGAACTTCAAGAGAAGGCAGAAGGAATAAGACACCAAAAGCCTTTAAGAAATGAGATATTAGAGACCAAAAAGAGACACCAGAGGGCTGGAAGTTTTCTAGGGCTGATATAATTTGCAAAGAACGGCTATTTTCTTGTTTAAACATGAATTCAGCGTTTGATCTGATTCTGAAAGGGAGCCTCGAGCGCCATCAGGCGGCCGCGGACGGATGAAAGGCCGCAGGGCCGCTCTGGTGGTTCTTTGCGGTATTGCAATATACGATTTAAAAATAGAGAGCTCGAAAACAGCTTATCCCGGTTTTTTCTTTTAACCTCCCTCAAACTAAATATAGTCGCGGCCTTGCCACGTCATCTTGCTCTCAGTGGTTTCTGTGTGATATGAAAAAGTCCTTGGCAGAGCCATAAAACTACTACAGCTGACCTAGATCATCTCAATGCTTACACAAATATAACGAGAGCTAATGAGACTACAACTGCTTCATTCATTACCTTAGCTGTATACTGGGTTATTATTGTAACTAAAACTATTAGAAACATTATTGTTCAATGAAATATAGCTGAAATAAAATAAACTATAAATATAAGATGAAAAACATTACAAAATGAAAAACTGAAATGTTAACTTGACAACCAACTTATGTTAAGTTAAAGCACTAAAATTACTAACTGGAAATAAAAACTAAAACTGAACTAGAAACAAAAATTAACCACTCTCTATATAAACTGTATAAAGGCCTATCTGCAGTTAATTATTTTAGTGCTTAAAATTACATTTAAAAAAAATTACGCATTTTAAAGGGGTCATATGATGCGATTTCAATTTTTCCTTTCTCTTTGGAGTGTTACAAGCTCTTGGTGCATAAAGAAGATCTGTAAAGTTGCAAAGACTAAAGTCTCAAATCCAAAGAGATATTCTTTATAAAAGTTAAGAGTACAGTATGTGAGGGGCGTAACATTTCCGTCTCACACTTGAGGTATTCGGCCAATCATAACGCATTGGATAGCTGGCCAATCAGAGCACACCTCGCTTTTCAGACCGATTAGTTTTGTAAAAATCGACGCGTTTCAAAAAGGCGGGGCATAGAGGAGAAACAATAATGTACAGTATGTGGAAAATAATGTGTTTTTTTTACTTTAAACCGCATAAACACAGTTCATTACACCAAATACACAAAATAATGTTCTTTTTAGCAGCATCATATGACCCCTTTAAAATATGAATATAAAACACATTATTTAGGCCTAAAATCTCACAATTTAGGGACAGATCACTATTTTAGCATTAATTTCCATAAAATAACTTGGAGACATAAGCAACTGAAATAAATAAATCATATACACACACACATTAGTATTATTATTATTTAAAAAAGTAGTTTTTGCCATTATCATTTGCAGGTCGCACCAACAAGTAATGGAAAACGATTTGCATATAAAAAAAGAACCTTCTAAAACCTAACTTAATCAATACAAACTTATTTAATATTTTACAAAGCACAATTTACACTGACAGAAACAACAACAAAAAAATTCTCATAGCAACCAAATGCAAAGCAACCACATGTTTGGAGACAGTAATTGAACATGACTGTGTAAATCAGAATAACTTGTGAATTATGGTCTTATGTTTCTCTCCATTACCCTTTGAATAAAAATGGCACCCCGAAAGTTTCTAAAATAAACGTGGGTCTGATATTCAGTATCTTTTCTTCTGGGACGCGTGTAGCAGCTTGATCTACTCGTCTTCAATGAGTAACATGTTAGGAACACCTTTGGAGATGGGGAACTCTCTGCCAGATTCAGGACACTGTAAACATCCCTCTATAACCTCAACCTATGAGGAGAGAACACTGCTATTAGCACTAATTCACTTAAAGTTAATTCCATAAAATATTAAATATTTATGTTGAAAATGGGTTTGCACCAGGGTTATTACGGTTAAATAAAACCATAAAAAAGTTTGTTACTTGAACTAAAACTACACAGACATAAAAAAAATTAAATAAAAAAAAAAAACGAATAAAAATGACAAAAAAAAAAACAAAAAAAACAAAACTTTAAAATTAAAATGGAGAACACAAAAATAAAAACTAATTCAATATATATATATATATATA